ATGAGTTCTTTATGATGACGTGAGGCGCCTTCTAAGAGCACCCAGGAATATGTCTGAGAATAGTGGCGTTGCACATCGGTTTTAGGCCCACTTTCTTTTGCTATGCCTCCTTCACTTTTCAGATTGCAAACTGACATGCACATTTGAAGCGATAGCCTGACCACAGCAGTATATTCTTTAGAATATTTGCGATAGACAGTTGAGCATGGTCTCTGACAGAAATGAGCTCATCTGTCAGGGCAATGGAGATTCCAGCATAACAGGAGCATAAGGGATCTGGGAAACAATTTATCCTTCTTCATTGGTCTTTTGAGACCTACAGACATGCATGCGGATGCTCGTAAAGTGTAATCCGTTTTCATCTTTATAACCAGTCAGACTGCCCAGCTGCGCCGTGCTCTCCTCCTTTTTGGGAATCGCACGGCCTAGCCTGGCGACTGTGTTTTCACAGGTTAGACAAAATACCCTCTCGAAATAATAACCTGACAATAATATACATAGCACAACTATGTCAATAGTGTAACACAAGAGCTGTGAGACCGAAAAAGCAGGAGGGAGTGCACTTTCCTAGAAGCAACCATCAAAATAGAGAAGTAGTCGTGAGTGGCAATACTGTTCTCAGAAAGAAACGGCTTGCGGAATGCTCCACCAAACCCTTTGAACCGAGAACCTAATAATTAATTTGAAATGGTACTGTAATGTTTCGTACATCAGTTAGATGGTTGATATGACCAAGGTACCGCACCTGCTTGTGAAGCAATAGCCGTGCCATTTGAGGGTGATAGAAGCGACATTGCGGTAGACACGAGCGTCTGCAAACCTAAAAAGAATTGCAGTGCCTACAGAAACTGGCCCATCATCAACGCTGTGTACAAAATCAAACATCTAGTCTTCAATACTTGTTGTCACAGCGGAGGTAGCTTCAATGGTGGACGAAATTCGATGCGAAGTTGAGGTGGTCATTGGAAACGTGGATTCTGAAGCTTGATTCCGGTGAGTTCATAATATTGAAAAAAAAACTTCAAAAAGTCAAGTCTCTAACCCCCTCTGAGAAGCGGCATCTGTTGCTGATGTCTGTGTGCTGCTGTTGGTGTTCGCATACACAGAAGTATGTGCTAAAGTGCATATCCTACGTAGCCACACTTTTGAATATACCATGACAGCACACTATCGACTATGGACTTGATTGACATGGATTTGTGGACGTGACCCTCCTGTGGATGTGTGAGGGTGCATGGATGTGTGATGTGACGGGAACCATCATAGTAGGTGTCGGAACAAGGAGACTCCCTGTACGCTGAAACTCGGTGGTCACTACGATAGGTAGATGGAGTGATGAAAATTGTTGACATCCGACATAAACAATTGAGAAGTGCTGGATTGATTTGCTAGCTTCAGTGGCTTTAGCTGAGTAACAGCTTACAGCATTACGATTACCGTCTTTCCGGCCGTGGTCCTTATGGATTAACCTAAGATGGAAGTGAACTCTGTTTAGAGGGGATAAATTACAGGTCAAACACCCACAACCAATACACATTCAACAAAAATATAATAGAACCAGATTGGTCTCTCCGACAACCGCCAGAATCCCTCTTCCGCTGCCTCTTTGTCTTCCTCCCTATCCCCTTATCCTGCCCTCTTCCCTTCGCTGCTCGCCGGCAGCACTTCATTGGTTGGGAAATGACCGAAAGTGTGCTAAGTGGGTGTTTATATAGCCGTTGGAGTGTTATCACAATCATGCCATTGCAAAACATTGATAGCTCAAATCCTGCGAGCTACCCAGATTTGTTAGCGGTTTGTTTATTCCATTAGCTTCCTTATCACTCACTTCATTTTGCGGACGGGCAGCACATCAAACTGACGCACCAAAGTTGTGGTTTATAAAATGAATGAAGTAATACCTATCTTGTTGAATAGAAGCAGCGTTGCCTCACTATAATAGCGTTTTTGTGGGGTGGTGCAGCCGCAATTGTACATGTGATCACCCCTTTATGCACTTTGGAAAACATTGACAATGCCCATCCTTCCACTTCAACGAGGAAAGCTTTACACATTTCATGAGCAAGACCTCACAAGTGTATCGCGTATATTTCCAGATTCAGTACTAGAAAACATGTAATACTATACAATACTGCACTGCATGATTACCCCTCAGAAAAATGCTAAATTTCTGCTCGCTAATCTCATGATCTCCCACATCATAACACTATTGATTGCTTTCGATTCCTTCTTCTGCGCCTATAGGCTTAATGGGAAAAAATGATGTAGTTCTCACTGTTTTCCTGTTCAGCAGTTGTCACGAGCTTGACGAATGGCAACGAAGATGATGCGCCACGTTGCACTGTGTGTGTCTGTGGCCGAGTGTATGGTTTCTTCGTCTTTCTCGGTTTCTTCGGCTTTTTCGGTTTATTCGGTTTCTTCGGTTTCTTCGGTTTCTTCGGTGTCTTCGGTGTCTTCGGTGTCTTCGGTGTCTTCGGTGTCTTCGGTGTCTTCGGTGCCTTCGGTGTCTTCGTAGTCTTCGGTTTCTTTCCACCCATCCGATAAAAGTGTATTTAACATAATTACTCAGATAGATTTCAAAGAATGCCATACCAACCAACCACCACACAGGGAAGGTGCTGAGATGTGAATGGTCTCCACTCAAAAATCTTGCAGATCAATCTCCTGTCGACAAGTTGATAACCAGTTATGAAGCGCTTGCTACATACATATGAGCGGTGGTACGTGTGTACAGTCGATATCCGAAAGTTGGGGTAGGCGTGTCACCGGAAGTGACGTGCACTTGATAGAAGTGCGTGGATAAGCTGTTGCCAGCATGCTTTGCTGATATCCAGCGATGTATGTTGGAAGCAGCTTATCCACATAGCTTCTATCAAGTGCACGTCACTTCCGGTGACACGCCTACCCCAACTCACGGATATCGAGTATATGTGTGTATGTGTGTGTGACCGTAAAACTTGCTTTAGTATACATGTGCTCGGTTATACGGATATATAAAGACTACTGGACTGGAGTCTGCTTATCTAGAAGATTTTGGGGAAGGTAAACAGTAGACAAAGAGTGGATATCAAGAGTTGAAGCGATGCCAGTATTTAATGCACGTGTCGCGCGTTTTCACGTTGAACAGTATGCAACGCATGCGAGGTTGTTGTGGTTGGGGTAAGGGTATAGATGCGGGAATATCAGGTTGATTGGACAACGTGATAGCGATGAAACCCTTTAAAATGTCGCGGAGAGGGGGGTCGAACCGGGTTGACCTAGGTGAGAGGAAAGTGCCGTGGAAACTGATAGCGATGATAAGGTTTGCTGAAAAGAAGTGTTGCCAAATTTGTAACGTTCTTTGTCGGGGATGGATGCCTCACTGGTTGAATGATACATAGCTACCATGAGTCAGTACCTTGGTTTGAAGCTACAGTCCCAGCAGATTTTTCACCTTTTGATTCTAATGGGGTGGGAAGATGCACTAGCTTTAGCCAAGTACGTAACAAGCGTCACTAAACTAAAAACACATCTTGGAAAGCCGCTAGAAGGGAGTCGAACGCTTTAGAAGTGAGCGGAGCGGACCTAGTCACGGCCTCGACGCCCACTTGCAGCCGTGGAGAGCGCGTGATTGGATGCGGGTCCTGGCGTGATTGCTTGTAACTATCCGCTATTCGAAATGCTGCGTCTCGTTGATTAGTTTTACTTGCTTAGCTCATTTACCTTCTTGTATTTCTTTGTTAGTACTAATACATAAGTCTGTTTGTATTAGGGCAAATGCGACTGCAGTCATATTTCTTGCTGGAACGAGCCAGCAATTATTTATCTATTTATTATTTATTTATATTTATCAGAGCATTTATTCACTTTCCCCGTGAAGGAATTTAAAAGCATTTTACACTCGATTACGAGGTTTGCCCACCTATCTGTCCATTCCTAGCCCCTGACAAGCGGTTATCGGTTGGCAGCCCATATGTGGCCAAAAAAAGAGCACTTGACTCCACATTTCAGACAGCATTAATCACACTTTGCTAAAATCAAATCGACTGCCCCCAACTCAGTATTGAAGAGCACATTCTAATCTATCTAAACGTTACATGACAGCCTTCTACACCGACGACATCAGAAGATTTTCCCACGGAAACATGGTTCACGGTACGAGCTCAACGAGGTCGTCGAGGTACCATAGACCATTACGACGTCCCTGAAACGCTGGTCAAAAGCGGTTTTGCACAGTCACAGCTAATGTCTCTGAAAGCTATTCACAGTTAATCCATTGAAGAAATTATGTAGCAGCTTCAGGCCGGAGCGATTACGGTAAGCCTCGTTGAGCTCGACGGTGGCGGCAGATGACGTCATATTCTGAAGACGGCGGGGGCAGTGAAGGAGGGCCTGCTTCTGTTTACGGGGGAACACCTAAGGAATATTCGCCGTAAAACTTTCATTAACATCGGCTCCCTGTGCGACGAAAAGTTCGATGATGTGCGCCATGGGCAAAGTGTCTCTTTTTTTGGCCACCCCTGTAGACACTGAAGTTTCCACAATATTCCTAGGTCTAACAAGGGAAGCCTTTCAGGACATCAAGCGCTTTTTCACAACGATTTATTGCTTTTTACAGGGCACGTGCACGGATCATAAAACTGCTAATAATTTTTGTTTCTGAGCAGCTCTCATAATGAAAAAAATGTGAAAATCATGTGATTTCTGCTTTGCATTTTCTTGCCCTTTTACAAGTCTGAACTCTTTCACTGAACAAAACCCATCAGTCGTGCTACCGTTCTGAAGTTAATGTGCTGTGGAGCATATTACAAAAAGGTTCCATTTTCCGAAAATGCTTTCTGCCTTATTTCTGGCAATCTCATTGCCTCAGAAAAATGACACCACTTTCATGCTTCCCTTTCAACAAACTGTCTTGGAAGGAACGCTCTATGTCCTGAACTACCTTCCTGGTAAGGTCTGGGGTAGCCTCACTAC